AAAGTGAAGCCAGTTTTAATCTTATAGTATAAATAAAATATAAATGTGATTAAGTTATTATTTTATTAATTAATCAATTATCATCACACAAGAATCTTTAGTTCGGACCTTTTTAAGGGCCCCCCCTGCGGTCAAAGTCTGCGCRCGCCTATGTACCTAGGCATTACCATTAATCAACTTCTTACCTGGGCTCCACATCTWCGTAACAACCTCTTAACCCAAAATTATCGTTTTCGTTGTCTCCGTCCTCTTCTTATTTTCCCATCATATCAAATTATCCACTAAATTATTAATATACAAACTCTTCTTAAAACCAAGTTGGACGTACGGAATCAAATTATGGGGCTCCGCAAAACCTACAAATGTCAACCATATCCAGCGTTTCCAGTCCAAAGTCCTCCGCACTATAACCAAAGCACCCTTCTATACGTATCAAATCATTGATTACATAATGACCTAGCCATCTCTCCTGTCAACGATGCAGCTAAGACCTTTTACAGATGTTTTAACTTCAACCTACAAAACCATAAAAATCCTTTAGTCAAAGAACTTACGTTTATAAATATACCCGGCAACCCACAAAAAAGATCTATTAGTCTTGACCAATCTAATACCCTTTGTTCTTTCTATATCTAATTTTGTTATTCCTATTTATCTTTCCTCTTCTAATATCTCCTAACAATGTTGTTTAACATTATTTCTCATTTTTTTTTTTTTTTAACTGTAAAAGTGCCTTTACCGGAAGGTATCTTTAATTTGTCCTCCTCGCCATAATTATCAAATTCATCAATTTCACTTATTGTTCAAAATGTATGTAACAGATTGTGGGAATATAAATCATGTAATAAAAAAACAAAAATTATAATATTTAAGTTTAAAGTAATAGTATCAGTAATAAGTATCTAAAAATTACTTAAATTTGTATGTACAATAAACTACAAATAATTTATTAATGTTATCACTTATTAGTACCACATGATTATACATACATATATTATTGTAGATTAATTATATTTATTGAGTAATGACTAATGATTAATGTACTATGACTGACGACTTAAAGTATTATTAAAGTAGCGCCAAGTGGCTGAAGTCATCGTACCTATAAAAAAAAAAAATATATATAGTACCTGCTTATCTTATACTCTTATCTAAACTTTATTTACTATAAATTATAATTGTATGTATGGACGTATGGTATATTATTTTGTCAATAAAACTTGACAAAATAGGTTGATAAATATTTTGACATGCTCTTATAAAGTTGGATCACTTAAAGTAAATTAGTAAAGTTGTTATTATGTATATGCTATAATAATTATTATCTATGATATTTACAGTTAAGTATTGAGTAGGTATACCCGCGAATCGCGATGTGTATTAAACAGCTGATAACGATTATTTTAATATTTTAAAGTGTTGCAGTTGTAGTCGACTAACGATTTCTAATGGAAATGTATAATATATATTATATTATATACTTTATGCATATTATCACGATGATATTATAATGTTCAATTAAGTTGAACACCGTCACAGTCGTCACACCGGTCCTCCATCGAACTCGAACAGTCCATAGATAAAAGATTGGAACAGTCTACAACTGACAACTGTTACAGGATAAAATATTAATATCATTTCGTACAAGCGTAACTATATACCCAAATGCCGTATTGTCGTAATGCCGTAGTGGTGCCGCCTGCTGCATTATCATTTAGATAATAGTAAATAGTAATAATAATATTCAATTTAATCAGATTTTCATATTTTATAATATTTTACAACCTTAAAAGTTGTACAGTCGCGATTGTCTGATAGATTGCATGTCCCGAAGTGATCAATTTTATTATTTTCGTAGTTGTACTGTAGCTGTCAAATAATGATTTGCTATCAGTTAGCATTGTCGAATGTACAATCGCTGTAGTTATTGTAATAAAATTCTTGTCATTTGTACTACCTACTATACTTGTAACAGCTAGTGCCTCTAATAGGTACTATTATACATAATGTTGGATTTACAAGAACCAAAGTCTAAAAAACCAGCTGGTAAGTTTAAAAAAAAAAAATGTTCATAAGATACATTAAGTAGATATTTGGCATTTGCACAAATATTTATCTTACTATTTGGATACCTATTATAACAGATACCGCATTCAAACAACAACGGCTCCCTGCGTGGCAACCAATTCTCACGGCACGCAATGTAATGCCCATATTCTTTGCAGTGGCAGCAGCATTTATTCCAATCGGCATAGGTTTACTATACCTTACAAATCTGGTGAGTCATTTTAAATATCTGTAAGGTTTTATGTAAACTTAATTATATTTGAATATATTTTTAGGTTCAAGAATTTACTCTTGATTATACCCACTGCAAATCAATTGATTCAATTTATGATACGCGATCTTGTGCTGACATTATTGGTAGCAATCGTAGTATGTCTTGCCATTGCAGTATTCCATTTAAATTGGATGAAGACTTTTCTGTATGATATTAGTTTATTGTACTAATATATTAGGGTTAATGTTCTTTTAATGTTTAAACATTTCTTGTTCGTACTTTGTACAGCCTAATGTTTACATGTACTATGGGCTAACCAACTATTACCAAAACCATCGGCGYTATGTAAAATCAAGGGATGATTTTCAGTTGCTTGGAAAACTAAGCAAAACTCCATCTAGTGACTGTGCTCCATATGATTATCACAACAACAAGCCCATTGCTCCTTGTGGAGCAATTGCCAATTCATTATTCAGTGGTATGTGTACATTTATTGTTAAATATCWTTTTTAAGGTTATTGTTGATTTAGAGTACTTGCCTGTWAAAAATGTTTCAAATGGCAATAATTGTTATTTCACCATAAAAAAAAAAGAAAATCCCTAGCAACTTGAAGAATTAATGAGTGTTTTAAATAATTTTAGTAATTTTGATCATTAATCTTATTATAATATTTAAATATTTTCTAATTTTTAAAGGTAAATTAATCTGGGTAAATCTTATTACGCTATTAAAAGAAGAAGTCTTACCTAGATTTTCAAATACATATTATCACACAATAAATAATAATATTATATCTTGTGATATTATTACAATCTATTTGTTTCAAAATCAGACAATTAATTTTAAAACTTTGTTTAATTAGTCGAGTTATATAACATTGTGCAATATTTTGAAAATCATTTATTTATATTTTAGATAAATTAACATTGATGTACAATGAAAGATATGTTCCATTACTTAGAACACAAATTGCTTGGAAATCTGATAAAAATATCAAATATCAAAATCCAGAACATTCCAAAGGAAATTTGAAAGAAGGTATTTTACATAATCACTTAATATAGATTATTTTATAGTTTAAAAAAATGATTGAAAATTAGTATTAGCTCTTTGTTACTTCTTATAATATATATGTGAGTTTGTTATCAACAATTTTGGCAGTAGTCGTGAACACGTTGAAATAGCACACCCATCCCCTCTACCAACAACCAGATCCACATATATACTATATAGTGCTTATAAAAGTGTGSTATATTATTTTTATTCTATATTTTATATCATTGTTTCAAAAAAAAAAAAAAATAATATAACAACATATTTATTAAAAAGATCTACTTCAGTCACTATCTTATAAAATGCTAATGCCTTTATAAGTTTTTATATATATGATATATGAAATGACCAATGAAGTAATAAATTCAAAATTTGAACAAGTGATTCCTTAGCTATTAAAATGTTTATACTAAGTATTTTAGTTCTTTCAATTTTTTACACAAAAATATAAACTATATTCAAAATTGGATCTAGAATTWATTATAATATGACCATTTCTACAAATTAATAATATTGATAGATTAATATTAATGACTTAAATGATACCCCCATCATACCCCCATACCTTATAAATCCATTACCTACAGGCCTTTTATCTTAAAAATACAAATTTAAATAACTCGAAAATTATTTATACAAATTTCGATTCTGATAAGTTAATATTTTCAGAAAAATTACTCATTGTACATTTTACAGGGGGTGTTTTCATTTTGAAAACATAAGTTTGTATTTCCACAGGAAACTCCTTAAGTAGTATAAAAAAATCTCAAGAATTTTAATAATTTCATTATTTAACAAAAAATTGGTGGAGCATATTTGGTAAATCACTCTATTTATGATTAAAAAAGAATAAATAATATCTTTGGTTATTTTATTAAATCAAATAACTATATTAGAATATWAAAAAATTATGTATATACAATATAACATATGTAAGTGTTCTTAATTACTTAAACTTATTATTAGTATTATTATTATTGAATATGCTAGGTGAATACAATTTAAATTAGGATAATTCTCTTACAAATGTTTAGTTAATTTTCTTTGTAGTATTATGAATGTTTTATAAAACGAGAAAGAAAGTATTCTTCTTCTTCTTTCTGGGCTTTATAGGCCTTTAAGGTCCATTGCTGCCACAACATATTGTTTCCATTCTTCTCTATCTTTTGCACATTTTTCTGCATTTTTTATGTTCTGGAGTTTCAAGTCTTCTTGTACTCTATCCACCCATCTTTGTCTGGGGCATCCTCGAGGTCTCTTAGTGTCAGGTTTCCATTTAGTTATTGATCCAATCATTCCTTCTGACCACCACACATGTCCCGCCCAACTTATCCTCGTGCTCTTCAGAGACCTAAAAATGATAGGTTCCTTGTATAGACCATCCAATTCCCCGTTGCCTTTCACCTCATACTCTCCATCATTATTTTTCTTTGGACCGAAGATTTTCCTTAATATCTTTCTTTCGAAAACTCCTAACTTTCCTTCGTCYGATTTTGTCGTGGCCCATGTACCACACGCATACAAAGCAACCGGTTTGACTATGACTTTKTATAGCATTATTTTAGACTTAATTGACAGTAGTCTTGATTTGAAGAGTGGCATTAGACTATAGTAGCATCTATTTGATGCCATAATTCGTTTTTTAACTTCTTCGTGGCTATTAGCATTTTCTTTGATCTTTGCGCCCAGGTATTTGAAACTCTGTACCCTTTCAAATTTGTAATCATCAACTTTTAAATAGCTAATATTGTGATTTCGTTTCGATAGTATCATATACTTTGTTTTTGACTCATTTATCTTCAGACCAATCACTTTACCTTCATTTAGCAGGATGCTAGTTGTATTTCTCAGTTTGTCCTCTGATTCGGCCATGAGGACTATATCGCCAGTTTAAGCCATTGCGGATAGTTCGTTGTTGTTGTTCATTTTTATTCCTTTGGCTTGGATTATTACCTTTCGAATGACTGATTCTAATGCGATATTAAACAAGGTTGGCGATAGAGCATCTTCCTGTCTGAGTCCGGTAGTTACTGGGAACTCATCTGATATCTCTCCTCCAACACTTACTTTACTTTTGGACTCATACGCACACGCTCTTATCATTCTGACTAATTTTGCTGGTATTCCCATTTTGTTCATGACACTCCATAGTTTTTCCCTATTAATCGAATCGTATACATACTGTAATCTATAATCATAAGGTGTATACTGTATATCTTTATTGAATTTGTGACTCTTCTCAGCTAATTGTTTGATAATGTAGTAGATTTGATCAACTGTTGATCTCCCTATCACGAACCCAGCTTGATATACTATTATTTCTTTAAAAAAAAAGAAGGAAATGAAAGAAGTATTCACTTGAAAAAACAAATTGGTRAGAAGAATGTTCTAAACCAACTAAAATAGTCAGGGTGAATTGTCAATTATTGGTTGGATATTTAAAAATTTGTAATGCTGATATTGAACAATATTMATCGTAATTACATTGTTTGTAATTAGCAATAAATAATTAGAATAAGTTATTAATACAATTACAAAAAAATAAAATGTACCCGYTTTATAAGTCTCAAAAACAAATTTTTCTTATATTGATAGTAAATAGTGGTGTGTAATAATTTGCATGATAGTAGTTCACTTTTGTTAAAGCTTTAAAGTTCTCATTTTACTTTCATATTGGAATTATTTATTATTGAATTGTGTTTAATACATTTCTCAGTAAAACATAATATTATAGTTTAGCTTTCTATGTAATTTTTTGGTATAAGATCTCTGAAGAAAATGAATAAAAGTTATAATGGCATTTTTTTTTCATTCTCAATTAGCAACATTTATGACTGACATTCTGTAATTTTGGTTTGTTAACTATAAAATAATATTCATTCAAATAATAATCATTTATATGGTATTTAATATTTTATTTTTAGCATTTAAAGACTTTGAAAAACCAATTGACTGGCGTGTGAATATATGGGAATTGGATGAAGAAAATGAATTTAATAATGGTTTTGAAAATGAAGATTTGATTGTTTGGATGCGAACTGCAGCACTTCCTGATTTTCGTAAATTATACAGACGTATTGATCATTCTAAGGAATTTAAAAATGGCTTACCCAAAGGAAATTACAAATTAATGATAGATTATAGTATGTTTTAATTAATTTAAAATAAAGACTTATCTACTAATATAATTATAATTTTTTTTAGATTATCCAGTTGCAGGCTTTGGTGGAACAAAAAGTTTGATACTGTCCAATACTTCATTCACAGGAGGCAAAAACTCATTTCTTGGATATGCTTATATTGTTGTTGGATGTTGCTGCTTTTTATTAGGGTTATTATTTTTAATTCTTCATATCAAATATAAGCCCAGGTATGTTAAAATTAAAAATGATATAATACTTAGACCTTTGGCTTATTTACATTTATTTACAATTGAATAAATATAAAAATGTTGTTTAAAACTTGTAAATGTCTGTCATCTGGTTCCAATACCTAGTTTAGATTTTCTAGTTATTGTTGAATTATTGATTTTTGAATAAAAAAGTTTAAAAAAAAATACTATAATTGATATTTGTTAAAATGGTAACCGTTGTACACAATCAGCACCATAAAATAAACAGGTGCAGAAGAAACACGCCYTTGACCAGTTGACAGTTGATATACTATAGTTGATAACAGGAGTGGCCAACATGATTACATTTACGAGCCAAATGGATAAATACAATGATATCAAGAGCCAAAATGTTTATGACTATATAGTATACATTTTATAATTTTTGTAATTTTATACTTAATAAGTAAATATATATATATATTTTTAATCAGACATTAGTCACATACAACTGTGATGTGAGCCACAAGTTTGCCACCCCTGGTCTATAATATACAACAGCCACATATTTTGGTGATATGATTTTTACCCATCCACAGAGAGAATATTATGAGTGGTTAACTAATACATTTATTGTTGAAGGTTGTTTACTGTTATGTGTGATAGCCGATAGGAGGTCGGGCTGCCTTAGTAGGTGGCATTGAAGTAGGCAACTGCTTGTTTTGATTTATGTGCAATCATCCTTTTATGGTTGATAGATCAAATTTTAAATGAATATGTTCCTTGTATTTAGTTAAATACAAGGTTCTTAAAACTCTTTGGCCCAGCTTGTCATTATTTGTGGCCAGCGATAACATTTGAAATATAGCATGTGTTTTTTCTATTTTTATAACATTAAAACGACTAAGCCATCATTTAAGCTTTAAAACATCATTATTAAAATAATTGGAAAATATGAAATTAAATTACCTTCCTGCATATTATAAATATTGGCATCCTTTAAGGGATGCTACACTCTCTGCATTGTCTCCATCTTACAAATGTACAATATAGCAAAAACAATTTAATAATAATAATAATCTTTATTAATGGAAATTTAATTCCAATTTACATTTTTTCTATATAATATAATACAAAATGATTATAGCAATTAGTCYATAATGATAGGTATGAATTTATAATTTACAATAGTTATAAAATTAAATCAAAAAGTATACACAAACTACAAAGTAATACATGAAAAACTTAAATAAATAATAAAAACAAAACCAAAAATCTTTATAATTTTTATTTTATATATCTTAATATAGCACAGAATAGAACCATTCAAGGTGTAGTAATTATTAATACTGTAAATTGATTTAGTACAATATAATTGAATACATTATCTGTTACATAATATTTTTATATTTTTATATCTTAAACAAAAAGTTTTTATTGTTTCAAAATCTATTATTTTGTGTTTTTCAAACTTGAATTTCAACTTTTTTAGTAGTTTTGATAACTAAAAAATAAAAACTATATTTCATAGCCAAAGTTCTCCTTACCTTATGTGATGACATTTTATTTTCTTAGTTATGACTATAGAGTTGTCAGTTATTTTCTGCACAAAACAGTTATTATTATGTCTTATTTTGTAAGATGGAGACAAAACGTGCAGATGTAGCATTCGCTTGATATCAAACCATTTAATTTTTTGAAAAAAAAATAAACTTCTGCTGTGGGAAAACCAGCCTAATTTTTGTATTAAATACATGTTTTTACTACAAATGTGGCCTACAAGATATATAGATGATAATATGTGGCTTGCTACATAAGGGGGTTGAAAACCCCTAGGTTAGTATATACTTTCTGTATCTGATGTAGATTTGTCAGAATCATTTTTGAATTAGATAAACTATTGCTTAAATGATCATTCAACATTGCATTTCATGTAGTCTTTAATAATACATAACAATTTATTGATATTTTTTTTTTTGTTTTCAGTGCAAGTACAGGTGACATTTCCATCGTTTCACCATCAACATCTTATCAGTGATTTAGTAAAATTATTTCTTTATTGAAGAAAATACCTTGTGTTTTTTGCACGTACAAATTAAATTGGGCTGTGCTTCAATTAGCAACTAATGAGCTTTATAAGACAATGTGATATATATAAAAACAATTTAATTTATCACGATTCTATAATCACAATTGACCAATGTCTAATTTATACTAAAATGTACTTATAAGTTAATAGGAATTATTGTACCTTAAAATATATCTGTAGTAAATATTATAACACCATACAACTTAAATCAGATGAATCCGATTTCCATTATTAAGTTATATCATTAAGTATTACAAAACACTGTCACTGAAATAAGTTTTGATAATTTGTTAAAATTTGTTATAAAAATAATTTGTTACCTTTATATAACATTGTTAAGCTTTAAACTATGTATTTGCACAATATTTTAATGTAAAATGAATCTTAAAGAAGGATTTTAAGTATGTGTCTAGTCATAAGGGCTAACATTTGTTAGCTGTTAATAAGACTTAATTTTAGAACACTAAGCTTAAAGCTTATTTTAGTATTATTTGTTTACACTTAAATATTATTAAATAATAATATATTTGTTGATTTAATTTTTAATTTCATAGTTGACCTTCTAATGTTTTGTGCAGATATTTTTTGTAAATTTTGTGATTATTTATTGTTTGTCAAATGTCAGTAGCAAAAGCAAAGTGAAGGTAAGTGCTAAGTGGGTAAGGTAAGGTTAATCACTCGTATAATATTACAAGGAGAAGGAGATATGTTTTATATTATACTGCGTCACTGCGATTAAAGTAATTTATTTTATTTTAGGTATTAGTACCTAGTACCTACTATCTACTACTATAGGTTAAATTGATTTTTGTCGAAAAATTTGAATTTGAAAATGTAYGTATAAAATATAATGTGACTACCAGAATTGGGTGAATAGCTTTTAATGCATATAACTATATGTAAATTATTATTTACGCGTGTGTGTAATAGAGTTTCTTGTCCCATGGGTTYGAGTCCACCGACTAAACTTCAAAGTTCCACACCTGGTGAAGCAGCGAATGCACACACGCCCCCCTCTGTCATTTCCATGGTCCGGGCACACCATGTCCACGGCACCGTCGTACTAAGATATCGATTGATTAATTTAAATAACTTACATAATGTTAMGGTAATCTTTCACTCCCAATGCTCCATTATCCGCCGTATTTGCTGCTAGTTAAGCTGGCTAGCGACAATCTTCTTTTTCACACGCCTTTAATCGTTAGCACCACAGTAATACAGCATGGAGGAGTAGAGCTCCGATTTGTTGTCATRCTCTCGGGCAGCATAATGGTAGCACACTGTGTTGCTGGTAATGTACCTTTTATTTATTTATTTTCAATACACCATGACCGGTATCCTTATATTTATTATTATTATAATTATGGACCATAATTTATGGTATACTTCTGATAACCATCTAGAGGATGTATGTTTGTATACATGTGTTTTTGGATTATCCACTGATTTCTATATTATATTCATAGACCTATTAACTAGTTAATAATTACCTATATTACTTATTTTTTTTATTCATTTTGTCCGAGTTTTATGCCCATTGGCTTTCGCAGCGTCAACTTCAATAATAAATTATTTTACTCAATATATAACTTTTGTACCTCATACCACGTTACGTATTATTATTTCGTTTTAATTGACTAGTATAATGGGGTAGAT